ACCCGGGACGCTGCACCAGCCCCAAAGCGTGAGCAGCGAGCTCACAACTGCAACCGAGGTGCGTTTCAGAGCGCGCTGTGTGGGCCGCAGACGCAGGTGCCAGGCAGCCAGCCCCGCGTCTGGGCGCCCAGGAGGGGCGCGCAGCTGACTCACGTCGCCAATCATCAAGAGCTTGGGCAGCGGCGACGCCGCGAGCGCGGCCCAGCTGGCGCCTGCGCCCAAAAACCATCTGGAGAGCACGCCCAGCGGAAAGCTTATGCTGACATAGGCAACCACCTGGGGGGGGGGGCGGGGGGCATGGGGAGAAACCGGAATGAAAGGACCCCCCCAGCAGGGGCGTTGTGCATGGCGCCCGTGATGCGGGGCGTGACTTTCTTGACCCTGCGCTTGCTTACCCTCCTCAGTGGAGAGCCCGCAGCATGCACAGCATGCAAGGCACAGCACGCAGGGCCGTTTGGGGCCGTTTACGGCGTCGCTGCATTATCCTGTCAGACGCACCTGAGGCACCCGCGACAGCGCCTGCGCGGCCACGCAGCTGCCGTAGGAGTAGCCTATCAGCACGAGCCGCCGCGCCGGCGCCGCGGCCTCGGGCAGCGGCTGCGCCAGAAGGTGGCGGCAGAGGGCCGCCAGGTCATCGGCGTCGGGGTCTGACGAGGAGCGCGATTTGCCGCGCGACCGGCCGACGCACCTGGGAGTGGCGAATGTGTGTATGTGTGTGTGATCGTGTCTGTGAGAGTGTGTGTGTATCTCTCTCCATGTGTGTGTGCGTGTGTGTGTGTGTGTGTGTGTGTGTGCGTTCGTGCTTGCTTGCATACGTGCGCGTGCGCGCGCGCGCGTGTGTGTGTGTGTGTGTACGTGCTTTTGTGTGTGCAGAGCATCTAGTGGCGCAGATCGTGTCTGGTTGAGCACAGGGGCTCATGTGTCGCAAGTGCGGGGCCGCGTCTCCAGCGGGCAGGTGGGGAAGCCGAGCGGCCCCACCCGTGCTCCTGAGCGCCGGCCGCCTCACCGCTGGTTGTAGCTGATGACGCCGGTGAACAGCCCTGACCGCCGCGCGGCCGCGCACTGCGCCACGACGGTCGGGTCGCCCATGCAGCCCCCCAGGCGGCCCCATGGGTGTGTGACGACCACGACTGTGGGTGTGGTTGGGGTGTGCGATGGCCGCCCCCTGCAGCCTCAAGTGCTTGGGGCTGCGATTAATCAGGATAAGGTGGCCTTAGCAACCAACATGGCATACCTGGGAGACCCCTTTCAACCACGTGGGTCACGCACCCGTATTCTGGGATCCGCTTGCGCCGGTTGCGTCGCCGAAGCCCGCATTGGCGTCACATTCCAGCACGCACTCATCTAGCTCAAGTAGGAATCGGACCATCGTCCTACGACCGTGGCTGCCCTCTACACATATAATCCAGACAGCCTGAGATGATCAGATGCGCCAAGGGGCATAAATTCTTCTGCGTGATCTAGCTATCGTCAAAGGCATCGAAGCATTGTGTATCATTATCATTCGATACAACACACATAATACACACCTCATCAATCCACGTGAGCCCACTTTCACTGGACACCACCACCACCCGGAACACCGTGCCATCAGTGTGTGAATTATACCACAGATTACCGTAAACCAGTGGAATTATAGGCATTGATTCAGGCACCGGGACGTGGGGGCGCTCCGCAGGCGGGAACAGAATCGAACCGCTCGTTGCTCAACCAGAGCAGGAGCCTTTGTCAGGCGATCGAGGTACGCCTTGCGAGCCCTGCATTGCTGGAAGTTATCAGGGTTGCCGGTGGCCGTGCGGCATGTCCTAGGATCACCGCGAGCGCGCACACGCTCCTAGTGCTGGACAGCCCCTCATGCAACGCTGCAGCGCCGATGCTTCGCATGTCGCTGCAGGCCCAACTCTCAATGCACCACGACCTGAAGAAGCCTTGATTGGCAGCTTAGGTCATTGAGATATACCAGCTTGATTCCCTGGCGCCGGCACGTTGCGTTATCAGGACGGCGGGCTCGACGCAGGACAGGCTCCCAAGGCGCCAGGCGCCGAGGCAGCGGGGCCTGGCGGGCGGCCGGCGGCAATGGGGACCCTTGTAGATGGCAAGAAGGTGGGCAAGGGAGGCTGGCAGACACGGTTTCTAACCTGGTCTGCACATGTGCATGGCCCTGGCAGCACCTTGCCTTTGAGTGACGGCAGCAGAGGCGTTCGCCGGTGTAGAAGAAACATACGATGGAAGGAGGGCGCTCGCCTCCGCCGCTGCACCCGCATGCTCGGGGATCAGGTCGCGTTTGGGGCGTACGATCAGCCGCTCAAGCAGCAGGCGGCAAAGAAGTCGAATGCCTTCAAGATCGCGCTCGTGGCGTCAGACTGCCTGCTGCTAGGTGGGCCGGCAGGCCGGCAGCGGGGGGCCGGCGAGGGCGCTTTGATGTCTCAGAATGCGGCAGGCGGGCGGGCGGAAGCTGCTGCAGGGATGGTCAGTGGCGGGGCTCGCCTGGCAGCAAAAGCAGCATCAGCAGCAGCAGCAGCAGCAGCAGCAGCATCAGCAGCAGCAGCATTCCCCCCAGCAGCCAGGCGCCAGAGCAGGCTTCTGCTCCGGCAGGACCAATGCAGTGGTTGCATTGCACCAGCAAGGCGTTGCATCAGCAGAGGCGCCAGGCTGTGTGCGCACCGATCTCGCCTTGTTGCCCCCCTCCCTTTTACTGGACCGCTGCCTCCCTTGCGCCCTCCGCAATGCTAGGCCTGCAGCCTGTGCTGGTGCACCTCTCCAAGAACAAGAGCGGTAAGTTCTCGTTCAACCCGGTCAGCGTCAACCTGCTTACTGAGCTGGCGAAGACCACGTTCGCGTTCTGCGTGCTGCTGGCGCTGGTGAGCCGCCGTGTGGCGGTTGTTTTTGGGCGGTCACAGTGGCGGTTGAGGACGCCGCGTGCCGCAAATGCGCGTATTGCCTGCGAGGAAGGGCTCGGCAGGTAGGGACACCGAGGCGCCACTGCCCAGGTGTCCAGCAGCGGTCGCTCCCTGGCGCGGCCGCGGCCGTCGCCGACCCTGACATGCATCCCTGACGACCCGTACGCCGCGCGCGCGCATGCGCGCCCCGGCCAGGGCACGGGGCGGCCGGGGCGGCCGATGTACTCGTCTGTGAGCGCCTTCATAGCGGACGCGCAGCACAACAGGCTGCTGGCGGTGCCGGCGGCGCTGTACGCCGTCAACAACTACCTCAAGGTGGGCGCTGACGTGGTGGCACGCTCTGGGTGTGTGTGTGTGGGAGGAGGGGCGCTGACGTGGCGGCATGCAATGGGGGGCAAGAGGGTGTGCACGCAGCGCCACGCCCTTGGAATGGGGCGGGGCGAACGTGGCGGCGCGCTCTGGTGGGGGCAGACTTCACGCGCTGGTTGGGTGTGAGGAGGGTCTCTTGGAGGGTTGCGGTCGCGGGCGCGATTGCGTTATCGTCCCTGCTTGGTAGAGGGCTGTGTTCGCGAGCGGCCCGCACGGGCGGGCGGCTTGAGGGAGTACATAGTGGCGTGGACGCACTGTCGGCTGCGCAGGCTGCGGTTCCCATGGGTCGAGGCCTTGGCAGCCGCGCACCTCCTCGGCTGTGTCGGGCGTCCACTGGCTGCCCTGCGCCCCGCGCCCCCACCCCGCCCCCGTCGATGCACCCACACCTCTCGATGCAACCCCCCTTTGACAGTTTGCGATGCAGCTGTACTTCCGCCCCACCACCACCAAGATGCTGGGCAACCTGAAGATTTTCACCATCGCGCTGCTGATGAGGACGGTGATGAAGCGGCGCTTCAGCGTCATCCAGTACGAGGCGCTCTTCCTGCTCGTGGCGGGTGCGTACGTGATGTGTGTGTGTA